TAGTTATTCAAGACAGAATTAAATGCTAACGGCTTTCTTTAGACAAGATCTTCTACAAAAGGAAAGTGTGTTATTATCATTAAACTTGATTTATGGACAATGTTTCTTTGTATTGCCTATATAAACAAGTCTGCTTGTGAAAGAAGCACGTACGTACGCACACATCAATTTGCAGAGAATTCCAAATCACGCATATTCAAGCTCTAGCAAATTTACTCTGTTCCAAGCTTAATTTGTGTAATTATCACAGTTGTGATATACTGTTTTGTTAGAAAACAACAACACACTCTTGTTCAATTATTTGTAAAAGATTTCCTTGAGATTAACCGGCTTGTGGTTGTACTCAAGAAGACTTTAACAGTTGTTAAAGTAGCTATTGTAATCGTTTGAAGATTAGTGGATTAAGACCTCGTTGGAGAGAGGCGAAATCACCTTGACGGATGGACTGGAGTAGTTTGAGATCAAACGAACCAGGATAAAAATACTGTGTGATTAAGCTGTTTTGATCTATGTTTTTCAATTCAACCCCCCCCCCCCCCCCCCCCCCTTCTTGTGTTTTTCACATCTTCAGAGTCGCCACCGACTTTTCTTTTATCCAAAAGGAAAGGTGAAAAAGCACAGGAAAGACCTTTGAGATGTTTTCTTGAGTTCGGGGGGTAGATTATAAAAAGGGAAGGTATTAGCACCCTTTTCATCCATGGTTTTCCATAGGCTCTTAGTTACTTGCTTAGATCACTTGCTTTTGTTGTTTGAAATTGTGCTTGGTGTAGTTTTGAAAGTATTTTGTAAAAGAGGCCATTCGTTTAGGCAATCTTTGTAATGATTCTCATTCGTAAGAATGTATACAAAGATTTTTGTCTTTTTGAAAATGTTTTCAATGATCATAAGATGTTTTGAAATGTGTGTGTGTTTGTTTTGAAAAATAGCAAGGATTGTTGTTTGAAATAGAGCAAGTAACTAGAAGCTATCTACCTACTCAAATGTCTTTCTTATGTATTTTCTATTCCTTTGACATTGTTGTCTTACCATTGATTTGGTAAGCAACCCTATCTTTGGATGTAAACGGGACGGGCGTGGGTAGGGATGGCAACGGGGCGGGTCGGGGGCGGGTTTAGCTAACCCCGCACCCGCACCCGCAACTCCAATAATAGACCCGCCCCCGCCCCCAAACCCGCCGGGGGATGGAAATTCACCCCCAGACCCGCCCCCAATGGAGAACGGGTCACCCGCACCCGCACCCGCCCCCACCCGTGAAAACTGTTTTTTTTAAATAAAAAAATATCTATTTTTTTCACAAATTTCCTGGACAGCATTAACAAATACATTAAAAATATAAAATTCGCCATTGATTTGAGTAAATAATTGTAGAATTTAATATTCAAACACCATTCCAAATATTTTTCTATCATAACCCTTCAATCAACTATAATTGGTTGTGAACTTGTGATTCATTAAAAGAGTGTAATCTTTCAATATATCAAAGTATAAATCACTCCCAACAACCAACAATTTTTTTGCAAAGTACAAATACAAAATTAAAACAATACAATCAACAAAATAACCATTCCAACAACATGGAACAAAATATACGATATCATCATAACAAAAAAAGATCCAAATAAACAACAAATTTTCTAATAATCTTCATCTTCGAGGCGGGAGTTGGAAATAGAAGTAGCACCATCAATCAACAACTCACCTGTGTTAAAAAATAAAAGTTAAAATATAAAAATTTAACTTGACAATTTTAATACAAATAGTATGAATAATACCTTCATCATCAGACTCCATTTCAGTTAGTAAAATAGCATTTTCATTTCCCACGTTAGATTTCAAATTACCTATCAATATAGTAAAATATAGTCAATGATAGTCTTGGCAAGTAAAAATAAAAAATATAAACAAGAAAGATCTTTACCATTATTCTCAGCACTCCATAACCAACTTCTTGCACACATCAAAGCTTCTAAAGTGGTCCAATGAAGTCGACTTCGATGAGGGCTTACGATATGACCACTTGTACTAAATGCGGATTCAGAAGCCACGGTAGAAACAGGAATTGCCAATACATCCCTTGCAATTGCTTGAAGTGTTGGATACTTAATCCCATTCAACTTCCACCATAATAAAATATCAAAATCTGGACTTCTTGGTAAAACTTCCTCTTCCAAATAAACATCCAACTCTGTTTTAACAGATGAAGTTCTAGCTTTTTTTTTTCTTATGACATACAAATCATAGTCTTTCAAACCATCATTACTAACATTTCCAACATTAGCATCCAACATTTCAGATTCACTTCTAGAATCCTTGTTCATTTTTAATTGATAATCATAAACTAACTCGTAACACAACTGTCTGATTGACTTAACTTGGGAATCAACATCATTCCCATAGAACACTCCATAATAATATTCAAGCAAATCAGTTTTATACCTAGGATCCAAAACAGCAGCAACCCCCATTATTTCATGAATCACACTCCAATATTTTTCAAACTTTACCAACATATTTTCTGCCATTCTTTTTACTAATTCGTCAGAGGATTCAATCCACTCAAGTAATGAAACTTTAATCTGACAAATCTTAGGGAAGTATTCATTGGCAGTGGGATACTTAGTTCCAGAAAACACTTCAGTGATAGAATTAAACAATTTCAATTTTACACAAATCTCTTTTGCAAATTTCCAATGTAAAGTTGTTGGCAAACAAGTGTACTGAGTTACACGGATTGCTAATCTATTAAATACCTCTTCATACAAAATAGCAACATCAAGCATCTTATAGGTAGAATTCCATCTAGTTGGACAATCTAAAACTAAATTCTTGGTGCAAGGTATTTTTAATTGTTTACATGTCTCCTCAAACCGTTCCTTCCTTTTAGGAGTTGCTGTCCAAAATGCAACGCTATCTCGAATCATCTCTATTCCATCTTTCACAACTTCTAACCCTTCTTTTACTATCAAATTTAGTATATGTGCACAACAACGCATATGAAGTAAGGCCCCGTCCCTTAATAATGTCTCTGGTTTCAACTTAGCCTTAATTTTATCAATCATTGCATCATTTGTGCTACAATTGTCCAAAGTGATAGTAGACAATTTTGAATCAATGTTCCAATCCATCAAACATTCAACCAATGCACCATAAAGGTTTTCACTAGTATGAGGTGCAGGAACATAAATGAACCTAACATAATAAGATTCACAAAACTAGTATAAATGTGATTTACCTCAAAATGTGATTCACAAAACTATATATAATATGCAATTAATCTATTATTAGAAGAAATTATATTTACCTCAAAATGTGATTACAAAACTATATATAATATGCAATTAATGTATTATTCGAAGAAATTAGATTTACCTCAAAATGTGACTCTGTAAATTCCAGTTTCCATCAATGTAATGAGCAGTGACAGCCATATATCCCTTTTTTTGATTGCTCGAGGTCCAAAGGTCAGAAGTAATAGCCACTCTTCCTTCAAGATTTTCTAACAACTTCAAAGTTGATGATCTCTCCATATTGTATACTTTGAGTATCTCCTTCTTTATAGTATTTCTACAAGGAACTTGGAATATTGGTTGGAGAGAAGTTGAGTATCTTCTAAAACCAATATGATCCACTATTGAAAGCGGATATTCATGCAAAATAATTGCATGTGCAAGCTCTTTCTTAGAATTTTCTGCATCATAAATTCCAGTACTCAACTCTTGTTTACCTTGCATGGATCTAGGCGTAAGAATTGTTTGTCCTTTATCAGATAGGTTCAAAATCTTCTTTTTAGGACAACATCCCAAATGTCCTTTTAAATGTGACGTCCCATCATTTGATGATCCATTAAGCTTCTTTGAGCAATAATTACATTGAGCCTTATCTTTTCCGTCAACTTTGACCTTTGTAAAATGATTCCATACAAAACTTTTCTGTCTGGATCGATGACTTGTGGTTGTTTGGCTATCAACCTCCATAATATCATTTGGCGTGGGAGGAGGAACATCAACTGATTGGTTACCACTTTCATTGGGAATAGGTTGATGTGTACTTTCTTGTGAGATAGGTGGACATCCTATTTGAGAGGTATCTTCATTTTCCATAACTAATTATCCTGTAAAATAATTAAGATGTACATAAGAATAAGAATAAACTAGTATTCAAAATAAGAATAAGGATAAACTAGTACTAATAAATTAAATATATAATAAACTAGTATTAATAAATGAAATATATACGTAACCATAAAATACAGTTCCAATTAAAATCGTCTCTTTCAAATACATTTTGCACAAATCATGCTGCGTAACCATAAAAAGAAAAAAGAGTTTTACCATAAGTGTGAAAGAAAATGTTCAAAAATATTTGTTGAGTAACACTTTCTTAACAAAGGCTACCAATTGCATTAAACTTGGAGTTTATTTGTTAACTTTAAGTCATAGGACATGTACAAACTCCATGCTTCTATGATAAGAAAAGCCTCTAGCCTAAGTTTCTAACGCCTTATTTGGATACAAGGCTTTGTTTGGTTAATGAAACAAAAAAAGAATCATATTAACAAAATACAAAACACTTATTAGTAATTTAACAAAATACAAAACACAAAAAAAGAATCATATTAACAAAATACAAAATACAAAACACTTATTAATATAAACTGTGACACCATTTTCTATGGCTATTGTTTTAGTGTAACCAACATCATTTTCAATATTAAATAAAATTGAGGATGCTGATGGAGAAACATTCCATTGATCTGCGGTTAACACATGTGCACTCTGTTGCATAAATACTTTTCAAGTTTATATTCTTCACTGGTTAAGGGATGAAATATATGTAATACTAATTTGAAACATTATTTGTCCTGTAAATTGCATCATATCATTAAAAAAAATACTTATCAGGTTATAAAGAAAGCCAATGAAACAAAATACCGTTGTAGGTTGGGTGGGATATTATCTCTTGTTATTAGACAATGCTTTCTTATAATAAAGGGATATATTATGCAGGTTGACAATTTCGGCACTGTGAACCTTGTTGAAGCATGCAGGAAAGTCAATGTTAACAGATTCATTCTTATAAGTTCCATTTTAGTCAATGGAGCAGCTATGGGACAGCTACTCAATCCAGCTTACATTTTTCTCAATGTTTTCGGCCTCACCTTAGTAGCAAAATTACAGGCAGAAAATCATATCAGGAAATCTGGTATAAATTACACAATAATAAGGCCAGGAGGGTTGAAAAATGATCCTCCTACCGGAAATGTTGTTATGGAGCCAGAGGTATTGCTTGCTTAAATATCTGAATCTCTATTTCTACAACAGAATCTATATTTATATGTTTGTTAGAACAAATGCATAATTATTTGGTTTTCTTTGTATCAGGATACACTATATGAAGGTTCCATATCCAGAGATCAAGTTGCAGAGGTAGCTGTGGAATCATTGGCTTATCCCGAGTCATCTTATAAAGTTGTGGAGATAGTTGCTCGACCCGAAGCTCCTAAACGCGCATACTATGATCTTTTTGGTTCTCAATGCTCATATTTTACGGAAATATAAGGTTTATCTTTTGCTCATCCGGTGGTTCTAGTGAATGTTTTCAAATCTTTCTTCTACAGGCTGTTCAATTACTTTTGGATTGTCGTGACCGTCTGAGCTCAGAAGACTTGAGCAATAAAGCTGATAGCAGCCCAACAGACTCACAGAAGCTGGATTCCTTGACCTCCAATCCTCGTCTTACTCGACAGAAATTTCAAGTGGTTTTGCTCGTCTTGGAAACTTGCAATATCTTGATCTTTCGAGCAATAGCCTTGAGGGTACAATTCCGCGTCAATTTGGAAGTCTCTTGCATTTACAATACCTTGATCTCAGTTATAATGCCTTAGATGGAACCATTCCTCGTCATCTTGGAAATCTCTCTCGTTTGCAGTACCTTGATCTTTCATATAATGGCCTTGATGGAACCATTCCGCATCAACTTGGAAGCCTTTCAAACTTGCAGGAGCTTCATCTTCAATATAATCAAGGACTCAAAGTTGATGACGAGAATAATCACGTTGGAGGTCAGTGGTTTTCTAATCTCACTCTTTTAACTCATCTTGACTTAAGTGGCATGCCCTATCTCAATTCTTCTCATGTCTGGCTGCAAACGATTGCCAAGCTTCCGAAAATACAAGAACTGAGGCTCTCTGGTTGTGCTCTTTACCAATACCGAATTGGTTAGGACAACAATTGCAAATGTTAAGTTTACTAAAGAACCAATTCTATGGAAGTCTCCCTCGGAGTCTTTGTTACTTAACAAACATTCAGTTGTTGGATCTCTCGGAAAACAATCTATCAGGACGAATTTTCAAATGCATGAATAATTTTTCTGCAATGTCTCAAGATGTTTTATCAGCTATTTCCACAGAATCCGTTTTATATTACACAGTTACCTATAGAGAGAACTTTGAAGGCTTTGATATTATTGCATTGTTGATGTGGAAAGGCACAGAACAACAATTCAAGAATAATAAGCTCATTTTGAGGAGTATTGATCTTTCAAGCAATCAATTGATTGGAGAGATTCCAAAAGAAATAGAAAACTTGATAGAATTAGTCTCGTTGAATTTATCAAGCAACCATTTGACCGGAAAAATCACTTCAGAGATTGGAAGATTAACATCACTTGAATTTTTTGACTTGTCGAGAAACCATTTATTTGGCCCAATCCTTCTTCTCTAGCTCAAATTGATCGTCTGTCCTTGTTAAATCTGTCTAATAACAATCTGTCTGGAAGAATTCCAATAGGCACGCAGTTACAAAGTTTTGTTGCGTCAAGTTATGAAGGGAATGCTGATCTTTGTGGGAAGCCACTTGATAAAAAATGTCCGGGAGATGAAGAAGCCGCACACGAGAAACTAGAAACAGTTGAAGAAAGTAGTCCAGAAGATAAAAAATCAATTTATTTGAGTGTGGGATTGGGATTTATCACAGGATTTTGGGCACTGTGGGGATCTTTGTTTCTCATCAGGACTTGGAGACATAAATATGTCTTGTTCTTGAATAATATAGTTGACAGAATTACGAGTTTATGGCGCTGAATGGAATTAAATTTCGAAGGTAGCTTAGAGGTTTGCAGGTAACCTTTTTCTTTCCCGTCTTTCGCTCTAGCTTACGTATTATTTTCAAGTTGCTCAGACATGATTCATTTATTTCTATGATTATAATTTTCACAGGAAAAGTTAGTCTTAGCATGCAAAGAAGCTGGCAGTTAAACGTATCCCCGCATGAAAGGAGACTAGCAAGCCATTCACAAAACTCCATGACAGCAGGAACCCGGTAGCCAATAACAGATGAGCATAAAGGTTGCTATAAAATTTCACATTCTAAGAAAAGATAAGAGATATTTTCAGGAGCTTTATAACAGAGGGAGCAAGTAACAGGTGACAATAAGTTAAACAAAAATGCTCGGTTCCGGAATGCTACTGACTTGAACTCTGTTACTTGAAGTTTTAACTATAGAAAACCTCATAGTGAATTTAACAACCTTTACTAGTCCAAAATTGCAATATCACATTAGAAACCGTTGAGAGTAAAAGGAATCTTCCACCTTATAATACAACAAAAGTTCATATGATTCCATAGTATCATAAAATTATCTATTTAGACTTGGGATCTATTTCAAGACTATATATATTTTGGATGAACTTTCAAATTCTCAAGACTATAGCTATATACACACACACACTAAAATAGCTTATACACACATTATAATAGCTAGCATAGACACAACATACAACTATTCTATAGCATGGAAAGTTCTTTGTCACGCCTGTTTACATTTGAATTCTCATTTCTCACTTAGAAGTGTTATAATTCAGGTTTTGAATCCATAGTAAAAATGATTTAGCATTGATAAAGTAGTTTATCTTTCCAAAAAGAGGAAAAATTGTGTGGTTCTGCTTCTTTATTATCAGTAAATAATATCACAATTCACAAGTTATTTGCATCTAAGCAACATGAGAATATTCATACATCTATTGACATTATAGCATTCATATGGAGAAATTAATGATAATTACATCTGAAAAAATTTAAAATCAACATCAACTAACCTTAAAATCAATCGGAGAAAATGCACCGTAGCGAAGATCGGAAAGAGATTTCGCAACAAGGATCTGTTATGACAGAAATCGTGTCAACCGGAGAAAGAGATTCTTCACATAAATTTTACTACATTGAATGAGTGATTTTGTGAGACTTTATTCAAGAAAAAACAATTACCTCAAGTATTAGGTTTTGAGAAATTCGTGAGCGATTTTGAATGGGAAGGTGTTGTTAGGCACCCTTCATTGATGGGATGATGTTGTGGTAGTGGTGATGGCAGCAACGCCGTCGGCCGTTGCGGACTTGCGGTGATTTTGCGTTGAGATTTGAGAGAAGAAGATGAGACTTGAGAAAATGCTTCTAAGAAGTGAGAAAATAAAAGTAACAGTAACATAAAAATATTTAAAATAAGGTTATTATAGTAATTTTATTATTCGGGGCGGGGCGGGTGCAGGTGCGGGCGGGTCTCAGTGTCTTACCGCCCCCGCCCCCGCACCCGTAGTTAGAAACCGGGTTTTACCCGCCCCCGCACCCGTACCCGTTTTAGCCGGGTTTTCCCCGTTAATTTCGGGGCGGGTCCGGGCGGGGTCCAGCGGGTCTGGGTTTTTTTGCCATGCCTAGGCGTGGGTCATCGTATAACCATGATTAGCAATGTTTGCTAAGTATCTTAGCATTTTTTGAGGGACTAAGATCATTTTGTAAGGCAACTTTTGAATAACGTCATCGAGGGACTATGATCTTATATTTGTTTTATTTTTCCAAGATACTTCGCATGCGTAATATGGCTATTTTTATTTTAGGCAACCAAGTGGAGAAACCCTAAGGGTGCTTGTGTGCAAGTGTATTATTTTTATGCTTTTGATTTTGTCTTGTATTTAGGGTTTTCTATTTTGCTTTGTTTTGTTCTTGTCATGCAAACTCTAATTACTAATCATGGCATACAAAGCGATAAATTGCGTAATGTAAATATTTCTAAGCTATTACAACAATTTATGAGAGGGGGGAATATAAATTTTAATGGGGATTTTCAAGAATATAAACCTAAATAAATTATTACAACCAAATCGAATTTGTACAAATTAGAATAAATACAATACAATATTAAAAAGAAAATGCAATGCAATGTACATGTAAAAAAGGATTTTTGTGTCTTGTTTTTATGTAAAAGAAAATTTAATCTAAACCTAAAAATATAAAGAAAAGGAATTAATTTTTAAAAGGGGTTTAACCCTAATTATTTTTTAAGAGAAAATAAAGTTTTTATAGGTATTATTTTGTGTATTTTCTTGTATAAAAATAATAAATAATATTGTATATAAATATAAAATTAAATATATGCAAGAATAAGTATTTATAAGTATGAAATGAAAAATAAATTGAACTAAATATGTTTAATTACATTTACAAGTTTATTAAGAAAACAAATGATATCCTATTAAAATAAAATATATTTTTTTAAGTGAGAAATAAAATAAAAATAAAATAAAGTGAAATATTATTAATTTTATATTTTTTTGGATTTTTATGCATTAAAGAAAATATTTAAAATATTAAATATGAAAATAAAATAAATAAAATAAAAATATAGAAAGTTAGCAAAGGGGGTGATGTGAGAAAACTGGATGCAGTAAGCTAGCAAAAAAAAGCTAGGCCCACAGTCTGAGCCCAAACCTGCAAAAAAAAAGAAAGGAAAATGGAAAGAAAAAAATGTGAAAAAATATAAAAGTAGCGCGCAAGTTCGAACCCAGGACATGGGTCTCACCAGCGCGCTGCTTTGCCACTGGGGTGGCTATACTTCCATTGTCTTTAGGGAAACAAAAACAATATAACACAAAACGTGCCCTTGCTCTGTTTCATCTTCTTCCTCAAGCTTAGCCAGACACCCTGTAACTCTCTCATACTTCCATGAAAATAAAAACTTATAACATGAAAATTGTAGTACTTGAACCACGATTCCAACCATATAAGTTATGTAATCTAACTATCAAAGATCAAAGAGAATTTTAAAAGCCCTAAATTCTAACCTAATATTTTCAGAGATTTCAAGTTCCAAATTCTCTTAGCTCAAGTAAAATCAATGCAAGATAAGGATATGTATAGCTTCGTTATGATGAAGACTACATTTTTTATTCACAAATCGTGGCCTAAGGTTGCCTGTACAAGGAGATAGAGTTTGAAATTTTACCTCCTTCAGTTGGAATCGTGAATGGAACTGGGGTGAGTTTGAGGGAGGCCTGATGCTTGCTTGAGCTTCTTTGAATTCCCTGGATGTGTCCCAACCCTTGCCTTGCTCTGAAAGTAGCTAGAACTCCTTGGCCAAGTCAAACTGCAAGCTCTAAAGTCAACAATGGCAGATGGTGGAGGAGTGATTACAGAACAAGGATGAAGGCCTGGATTGACTAGGTATCAAGTATGTAATATGTTTCAATGATCCAAATCCAAAACGCACGAGCCAAATGGAAGATGGATGTGCTTGTGCAAAATCTGCAGTTTTGGACATATTTTTGGTGTTTTGATGGTTGGGAGTGTTTCAGGTCCTTGCTAAATGTGTATTGTGTTGCTTAATTTTTGTATATTAGTATTGAAATGGTTTGATGTCAACTCTCCAACAGATCTGCAAGCCCTAGCCTTTTTGCAACTTTCCTTGCATTTGAAGTAAAGTGAAGTGACTATACTTGCCATGCTTGTACTTGCTCTCTTAGGGTTGGTATTAGTTTGTATAACTTACTTAAGACCTGTGAGACTTGTATGCACCAAGGGGACATGTCCAAATCTCAAAATTGTAAAGTTTGCAAAAGTTGCTCTATTTCAAAATGGCAATGGAACCTTTTTGCTATAAATTGAATTACAAGTTGGATAAAGGTTCAAAAGCATGGATCAAAGCTTTTTCAACTGAGTAAGCATTTAATTAAGGAGTGTGGAACAAGTTTAGGACCTGTACAACAAGAATTATCCAGCATAGGATTGATTTGCAACTTTGTTCTTCATGAAATGGCTTGGACAAAAAGTGAGAAATTGCCAACTTCATCTCTTCGATTCTCCCTACTCAAAAATGATCTTGGGGAGTTCTTGGACATTTTGGAAATCTTGAAATGTGCTATATAATTCATATTTGAAATGTATTTTGAGATACCTCTTGGAACTAGGTGAAAAATTGCCATGAAGTTGGGTCCAAAACCTGCCTAAATTAGGGCAAAATTTCACTAAGTTAACAAGTTCATGACCATGTATTCACAAATTTATATCTTGAGATCCAAGCATCTTTAGGGAAAAGTTTGTGAAAAAAGTTGTAGATTTCATGGAGGTCTACAACTTTCATGTTGGGGACTTTCCTTTAATCAATATGCATCATGGTGAAAAAGTGGCCTAAAGTTGAGAAAAAATGAGAAAAGTTTCTATACTTAGAAAATTTCTAAGTTAGGAAAATTTTCAAATTCAAACCCTAATTTTCAAATTTGGTTTTATTGGTGAACAAGTTTCACATTTTGACGTGTTTTGATGAATTATGACCCTTGGTACTTGATTTTGACCAAAAAGTCAAAGTTTGACTTTTCAGTATACAATTGACTTTTGATCAGTTAACTGCAAATTTCATCTGTCAATCCAATGAATTTGAGATGTTTTGAGCCATGTAATTAAGTCAAGATGATGCCATTGAATCCTTGAAATCATGCTTGAACTCAATTGGTCATTTTCTAGGTTAAAAATCAGAAATTTCCCTTTCTAAGTCAAAACCCTAATTTTGACCATTTTGCCCCTTTTGATGATTTGATGAAATTTCTTGAGGAGTTATAATACAAACTTGATCAAATAGTAAATATGAGTCTAAAATGTTGATGTGGATAAAAAATTATGAAGTTTGACTGTAAATTGGCCATGGTTGACTTTTCCCCAATATAGCTAATTTTTAGGTTAACTGTCCAATTGACTGATAAAAAATGTGGTTCAAGGCTTGAAACTTGTCATGAGAAATCTTAGGGATCCACAATTATGT